CAATCAATCAGAAAATGCACCTGCGGCAATGATAAATCAAACATAACACATCGAGAGGACCTATTACTGCCCTCTTTGTAACGTAAGATGTTGAAAAGATAAATCAAACACAATAAATCGAGAGGACCCGTTACTGTCCTTCCTCTTTGTAACGTAACATGTTAGATGTTAGATGTTCGATGTTCGATGGCGAAACCCTATACAGCGAATTAACAACTTCCTTCCATTGTCCCTTTTACCTCACTCGGCCCTAACCACAAAGGCTAAAASACCAGTGATCCGACTCTGTAATACCACGGCCCTAGGCTGCAATCCCGTTCCTCCATGACTAGCGATATCTGGAAGTGTCAACCGCTCTCTACTATGGTTAGAACGTCACATGATCTTCTTGATCACTTGTAACACCTCACCTCACACATAACATAAAAATTTACTTTTGATCCGCATGTATCTAGACAGATCACACGCGGATCAGCTTCCTCTTGAAATCCTGCATCCACAAAGGTTAGCCGCAAATACAAACATAATCATCCCATGAATCATGCAGCATGCAATCACACAATTAAACATCATGCACAAACAATCAAAGAAAACACTAAACCAAATTCCTAGAATTTTAGCACGAACCTCTATAACTATAAACATAACAATAAACAAGCAACGTGTGCCCTACTCATCTAGCACACGACAAGCATCACCAAGACTCACCTTATTCAAACGGTTAGGACTTAGACTCAAATTTAGGCTTACAACGGATCTAGGTTCTTCGACTATTCCACAATCTAACAAATCTTCCATTTCCTTAAAACAGACAGAGGTTCGGCTTGAATCTCGATCATTCCAACCATCAAAACCACAAAGGGTTGGATTCAAGATCACAAGACAAAACTAAGTCAGATAGAAAAGTTAGGATCGGAACGCCTTACCCTAAAAACTTCACGGCACTATTGGATGGTTTCCGACAACAGACCGCGGATTGGATCACGATCACGAACTATTTTGGTCAGAGGTTTGGAACGTTTTCTATGTAAGAAATGAGAGCTACTTGATATTATTTATAGAGTTAAGCAAGCATGTAGGCACAGTAGGATGGTCAGAAGTGTGTGTCGTGCTTCCCGATGAGTCGTTGCACATGGTCGCCACACCTCGTGCTTGCGAATTTGTTGTGCTTGTGGATTTATCGTGCTTGCMGATTTGTCGTGCTTTCGATGACTCATCACACAAGATCGCGATACCTCGTGCTTACGGGATTGTCGTGCTTGCGGATTTGTCGTGCTTGCGGATTTATCGTGCTTGTGGATTTGTCGTGCTTTCGATGACTTGTACACAAGATTGCGACACCTCGTGCTTACAGGATTTGTCGTGCTTCTGATTTGTCGTGCTTGCAGATTTGTCGTGCTTGCGGATTCCAAGCACGTCAATCCCGAGCAGCTGTGTCGTGCTTCCGCAAACTTTTATATTTTTGTAAAAATATCAAGTTTGAAAGCACCTTGCCACCTCGTGCTTCTCGTCACGTCGTGCTTCGGACAACCTTGTGCTTAAAATCCCGTCATACTTGACAATTTTTCTTCCATCAACTAGGTCTTGGCTCGATCATCTTCCATAACTGTTTTGATCTCTTGACAGGGTCATTACACTGA